ATCTGGCAGCCTCACCAGAGGCCTAAAAGGAACAAGTCCTCCCAACCATGGACCAGAACGTCTAAAACCTTGAGCCAAAACAAACTTTCTCTCTTTATAAGTTAACTATATTTGGTATTTTGTTATAGTGACAGAAAGCTAACACATCCACCCTCGAGGCTGAAGAAAAGTAACTTAGTTATCAATTTCTACTATTCATTCCTCTAACTATACATATAAACTCAGATTTCCAGAATGAGAGCCATGGAATTTGTAATGATTATTTTAGGGAAATGAAATTTTAGGGTGACTTTTACCTTTTTTGTACTTTCCTCTATCCCTTATATATTTATAATGAATGTGTATTACTCTCACAGAGGTAATAGTCATTGCTAATATTTTTTTATAAAAGAAAAAAGGAAGGAAATGACAAAAGAAGAAAGAAGAAAGGAAAAGACTACTGATTTGTCAAGAATCACTTTTCCAGCTACCTAATCATTACAACAGGTGAAAGGAGTGGAAGAGGAAGAGGAAAAAGAGGAGGAGGAAGAAGATGAGGAGGAGGAGGAGGGAGGGGGAGGGTGAGGAGGGTGGGGAGGAGGAGGAGGAGGAGGAGGAGAATGAAGAGGAGGAGACCATTATTCATTTTGCACTGATCATAAATCGTACATATGGTATGTGATTCCCTGGGAATTTCTGTTTATACTTGATATATTAGTATTTTACTGTCAGTAATTTTTCCTGATATTTTTCTCTAATTTGAAGTATCTGAAAGAGAACTCTATATTTGTAGAGGCCCAACTGTGCTGCTGATTAAAAGAGGCCTGTGTTCCATAAATATTTACATTCTGCTCTACAAGAACAGAGAAACAACTTGATGTGCCTGTTGCTTTCCCACTTAAACAGACTCTACTCAAGAAAACAATTGTGGCTCATTTTCTACATCTAATTATCTTTTCCACCAAGTCTCTGGTTGAATGTCAATTCCCTGAAGACACAAACTGTGCTTCTACTTTGTTCCAGATGAAGTCTGCTTTTGTATGGTGGAAGTACTAAAAAAAATTTTTAAAAAAACATTTTCAGCTAATTGATGGTTATGATGATATTGTTTTAATCCCCCTAAGGCCAGTCTGTGAGCTGTCTTAACCAGACATAATCTGCACTGTGCTGCAGATCAGACTGACTCTGCCAAACATTGTTCTATTTGCAATGAGTACTACACAATTACAGTACCTACTACATTCCCAATCACTCCCTTCCATTTCATTTAGAATTTAGCCACTAGTTCACTGCCTACCTCTCCACCACTACTTCATTTTCTACTTTTAGTAATTCCAATATTCCTTGATATGACTTCCTACTCTGCACTCACTTACCAAACTCAAACTCCATTGAAACCCAACTTTCTATCTACTCCCCATCTGCACCCCAGCAGCTGAAAGTAACTGAAGAAAAACACTCACTGATCTTATTAAAATTTTTAAAAAGAATTGTAAGAAAAGCCTTCATTATCTTACAATCAATTTAGGATCACTGCTATGGTTTGGACAAGTGTCCCCCAAAAACCCATGTATTAAAGCCTTGGCTACCTGGTGGAACTATTGGGAGATAGTGGCAACTTTGAGAAATGGTGCCTAGTGGAAGGTCCTCAGGTTCTGTGAGTTGTGCCCTTGTAGAGAATTATGGGACCCTATTCTGCTCCTGTCTCTTTGCTTCCAGGATTATGATATAAGCAATTAGCTCTGTCAAAGGCTCTCACCATGATGTGCTTCCCTCACTCCAAAGCAATGAGGCTGCCTGATCTTGGACTAGAACTACAGAACCATGAATTAAATAAACCTTTCCTCTTCATAAGTTAATTGCCTCAGGTGTTTTATTATAGTAAGAAGAAATCAACTAGTACAACCACAATTTTTAAGAAAGACTTCATCATCACTAGCATTCTTCTGCTTCCATACTAAATTAATTTTCCATCTCTGCCCAAAATATATTTCACTTTTTCCTCTCCCTTGAAACCTTCAATACTTCCTCCTTCTTCTGCTACTCACTTGAGACTAATGATACTGACTTCTATTGCACTATAAAATTAAAAGCAGCTAGAAGAAAATATCCTCATTTTTCCCATCACCGTATCTAATCTAATTGCATCTGACTCATCTTTTTCCTACTGATATGATGGAAAAAATGTTCTTCGTCCATCTAAACTGACCCTCCACAGTACACTGAACTCCATCCCTTATAAGAAATCAGAATTTTGCTACTCGCATTCTTCTCTTCCTTTTCTGCCCCCTCTTGATACTTTCCGAATAATGTCCAATATCATGTAAAACGTCTCTCACCTTGAAAACTGGACAAAATAAGTTTCCTTGCTCTCATTTGTTCCTCCAGCTTCTGCTCCATTTCTCAGGTGCTTCCTTGAGAAAGAGGGTCTTGACTTTACTCATAATCCTTCTTTAATAGGTCTTAATCAGGCTTCTGTTACTACTACCACCCCAAAGAGCTGCTCAAATAAAAGTCATTAAGATCCTCCATCTTGTCACATCTGACTCTAAATTACTCAATTTCTCAAAAATGTTAACTTTATGAAAATAGCTTTCTTCTCAAATTATATGTTACACTGTATTCCAGTGAAGACTGTGTGCACTGGTTTTTCTCTTAATTCTTTGGCATCTCTTCCTGTTTCTGTTTCTGGCTCCTCCTCCCTCTCCTCTCCGGGCTCAGGCCTTGTCTTTCTTTCTTCATATTTATTTCTCCCTAGAATCTCATCACCTTCCATGGTTTTAGGTAATGACCAACTTTTTGATAGTTTCCAGTTCATGTCAACATTCTATAATCTCAAAGAAAAAAAAAATGGAAATGAAATCTATGTAAATAGGGAAGGGTGGAGGGGGTGAAGGGCGCACAGGTAATAGGGAAAAACATAAGAACTAAGATACATCATGTACAGGTACAAGCACCCAATGATAAATGTAAACATATACCTAAAATGTAACAATAAAAGAATTTTTTAAAACACATTCTATAATCTCTGTGCTCCCTATTTTACTCTATTCTATTCTATTCATACTCTGTTTTCAGAATCTTACCTGAGCCCTAAGCTCTAGACTCTTAATATCTTAAACTTTCACCTATTTAATATCTCCATTCAGATATCTAAAGTCCTCTTAAATAAACAGCCAAAGGAAAGCTTTTAATTTCTCTCTTCAACAAATCTGAACCTCCTCAAATTATCCTGTCTCAGTTACCAGCACCATCAATAACTGTTCTTCAAACCAAACATCTAAATGTAGATCTCTGGTTACTTAAAATCTTTGATCATTCCTTTTTCCTCAACCCCGACCCAAGCCATCAACAAATCTTGTCATTTTTATCCAACATTTACTATTTCCAATGCTATCGCCTTAGTCCAAACAACATCGTTTCTCATTTAGACAATGGTAATAGCATAAAAATTAGTCAGCCTTTCATTCTTGACACCTTTTAATCTATTCTCCACTAAATAATTAACTTGAACTTTTAAAAATATGGCTTAAAGTACATGATTTCCTTGTTGAAAACTGTAATAGGTGTCCATTGACGCTTGGTAAAATGAAACTCCTCCATAGCCCACAAGGCTGTACTTGATCTGCCCCTTACCTGGTCTTCAACTTGATCTCTTGAGCATTCATTCCAGCCACACAGGCCTTCTCACCTCCTGAGAGGCACTGGATTTGCATCTCTTAAGGAATTTACACATGCTGCTGCCTAGGACCTTCTCCAGTATCTTATTTACATAAGTGGACCCTCTTTGGCATTCAAATATATTCTCTAATATCACTGTTAAAAGAGAGGACTTCTCTGACAAGTTTATATAAAGTACTCCCATCTGTAGCCTCCTAACACTCTAAGTCCTCTTACGCTGTTATCTTGCCTTTGTAATACCTCATAATGTTCAAATTTTGTTTATTTGCTTCTTGGCTGTATTTATTGGTATATCTCCAGTGCCAAAACTAGTACAAACTTCACAGAGAGTGCTCAAGAAAATGTCCTGAATTAATTAATTAATTAAAAGCCTTTGCCTCCTGAAATAACCTAGCTGATTTGCCTAACTGTTGCTATAGAGATAGTAGGGTTTTGACAGTGTTACATGATAATTACTCTATCTCTACTCTACATGGGCACAGGGGAAAACATAATTGATTTGAACTACCTCCCTCTTCTCTGGGGTCTCTTAAGCCCAGAAGAATCCAGTTTTCCCATGCTGTCTTCCAACTGGCCACCTTCTCCATGTATACACAAGTCTCTGTGTGTTAGCGGTACATACAAAAACTGTAACACAAACTGTAGTATAAAAACAATATTAAAAAATGTCCATGGCCTTTTATGGTAGTAAAAGTATAATGGTTTCTACAGCTAGTCCATATTCTATTTCTTCAAAAATGTTAATCTTCCCATAAGAAAACATTTTATCCCTTAGGGAAAAATCTTTGATTCTTCCCATCACTCTGCTTTACTTTATATGAATAACTTTTTTCATCAATTTTACTATTAACTTTTGACTTCTAGCAATGTTATATCACTATTGAATTCTTTCAGACCACCATAGGGTAATATGCTAAGGATTAACATCTTAATAAAGGAGAATAACTTTTTTGCATTCTTAGAAAGCTCAAGGCCAAAATAATTTTCTTATAGTCATTGTTAGGTACAGCTTTTTCATGGCTTTCCTGAAGATACCAAATGAAACTAACTTCACACATAACATCAAGTATCTCTTACTTAAATCCATATACATTGCCATTGCTTAAGCAACTCCAACAAATTCCAGGACCCAGAAGTCAAAAGTGCTTCAATTCTGTTGTGAAGATACCCAATCTAAATGTCATTATAACAAGAGCTACTGTTAAAGCTCCTGAATTGCAGTACCTTCTGTGAATTTAACAAAGAATGTCAGAGCATTGCTAAGCTTCTACATTGCCATAAAACATATATTTATACCTAAAGGAGTCACTTTACCAAATCTTTTTTTCAAATTATAATAGGCAACCAGTTCTTGAATATCACCCCACACTGTCTGTTTGAATTAATTATATCTTTGGAATTGATCTTAAAGTATAAAGACAATGAAGCAAAGAAGAGACAAGCAAGGAAAACAAAAAGGTACAGTCATTTCCATTATTATCTTTCTGACAGAGGCTTCAAAGATATATTTGATTGTGTATTACAAAGAGTAAAGAACTTTTTTGCTGAAATTTCACAGGTAGACCCAAATATCTAGCCAGAGTTGAACACATTCATTTCAATGTTGACATGATAAACAGGAAAAACTTTACTCATAACCCTCATGTTGCTCCACTTTGTATCTGTCTGATTCAAGTAATGAGCTTTCTTTGAGAAAAATCTTAGAAACATATGGACATAAGGACATGAAAGAGAAGAACAGGCCAAAATATCAGCCATCTATATCTCAAAGTAAATTTATGCTTATAAATATATTACTATTAAAATCATTCATTATGCTTCAACACCTGGCCACTAAATTGTTTCAGATGCATTTGTGAAAAGTATGTGCTCTTCTCTAAATTATTTAAAACTGTTCACCTTTTTCATTAAAATGTAATCTCTCAGTTTGTTCAGATAAGCTATTAAAAGTAAAACATTTACCTGAGCCTTGTTTTTGTCTTGTAATAGAATTTCTGCTTTATTTAATTTAAATTTGTCATGTTTAAGCCAATTATTAGTACAAAAACTGTAATATACACAGTAGTACATAAAAAATATTGAAAATTTTCCATGATCATTTGATATATAACCTCTTTTTCCAATGATTATAAAGCATCAGTCATTGGTCATGAGGGAGTATTTTCCACGTTTGCAAGCAGTCTCCTATATAGTGTGAGTAAAAAGTATATCCAGTGCTCATCAAACATGCAACTGTTTTGACTTTTCAGTCTACCAAATATATTTCTACCTGCATCAGTGGTGTAATCATTTATGAAACTCTCATTAGGAAGCATTACATAATACATGGCACCATTGTCTCTGAAAGTTGTAAATCCTATCTTTCATTTGCCTTCTTTCTTGTTTAAATTTACCATGCTGAGTTTTGAACCACATAGCTTTTCCTAAAATGACAGGAGAGACCAGTGATATAGAACTTATAGGTTTTCTTTTCCATCTCTGCGCAAAATCAGTTTGACTTTGATTAAAGTGACTGGCCATTGGAGGTTTAACTAAATTGACAGACTATTACTTTACTGGTTAAGAAATCAATTCTTTCAATCTTGAGGGTTAAACCGATTGTGTTTCAGATATGACCTAAAATGATCTTTTTCAATTTTGAGATTACCAGTCCAAAGCAATCACTAAAGAATAAAGTACTTTAAAACTGATACACTAAAATTCATTATCTATAACTACAATATTAATTTGGAATTTTGGTCATTCAAACCTATTCTTTGCTGAGTTAGTTTCATATGACCTTAAAGTATTAATAATTGTTTTACTCAGATGCATATCATAACTTCATGGGCACTACCTAGAATGACATTCTCTAGGAAGCATTAATGATACAGAAAGTTTAAACCCAATTCAATGTGCTTATACTTAAATGACTTACTTGGTAGAACTTAAGTTTACTGCAGTAGAATGAAAGCATCACTCTAAACTGTGTTCTTCATTTTAAATGTGTATAAAGGAAATTGAAAATGAAGAGAAAATTTTTACTTAGCACAAAAATTATAGAGTACAAAAATTTTACATGTTATAGCCCTACTAACATGGAATTGTGAAAAAATGTGTTTTTCCTTTATTGAAGTTTATACTTGATTCAGTAAGAGAGAAATTTTCCTCTGAATTCTTTTTCAACTCTTATAACATGGTCAGTCACAAAACTCAGTTTAGCATTTGTATGTCTTTTATACTTCTCTAATGTTCGCCAAACTCTCTTTTAAAGGAAATTTATCTCAGGCTGTCTTCCTGCAGGCAACAGAACCTGGCCAAAATTTAATAACGTCATTTTCATCACAGTGTGTTTATTTTTATGGTTACCTTCTGTTTGCAGCAGAGGATACTGGTTTTCTATTCCATTTAAATAAGTTTAGATTACAAAGTAAATCGATCTAAAGGAATAACTGGACAGGTGGTAAGCAAAACATCATACAAGTAGTAAAAATAACTAGATGCTAGGAAGTAACTATATGTAAAACCAATACATACAAAATTATATTCAAAATGTAAGAGGAAAACCATCTAGTTGGGTAACTAAATTAATTTCAGTCTCTTTCCCTTCACTTAATACAATATCATGTTTGATAATGAATGCTTTTTTATTAAAGTGAGTCCATTAAAACCTTTACTCGACAATATTTTGATAGTTTCCATTCAAAAGAGTTGAAGCTTAAATGTTATCAGAGTGAACCACTTAAAGGGAAAAAAGTCTATACTTCAGAAATTTAATTCAACAAATTCTTATTAATCACCCAGTACACCCAACATAATGAGCCAGATTCGAGGAGGAATAAAAAGATTTATGTATCCACTCATTGACTGAAAAGCTATATTTTGAGCAGCCATGATATTCAAAGCTACTTGCTGTGCAGAATTTAACTAAAGGAGGACAGAGAATAGGAGCAGGTGGTGGAGGGGATGGGTAGGAAGAGGAGGAGGGTAATTATTTTAAAAGGATCCCAAACTCAAAGAGTTTATCATGTAGATCATTATTACTTACTATTGTCCTTGAATTTCACCGTATCATTCTAGATATTATTTCATTTCCTTACACATTGTCTTTTTAAAGAATTCAATGTATGATTCAGTCAGAGGTAATATTTAAGAGACATTTTCTTTGAGTGTCAGATTCTATGAGCTTCAATCACAAATTCATGGAATACAAAATAGTACAATCTTAAACTCACAGCAGCGTTTATAAAATTCTAGTCTTATGTTTTCTCATATTCTTTGTGAAAGAGGTGCTATTACCCCAAAAAGAAAAGGGCTCAAGGGCTGGGGATTTAGCTCAGTGGCTCCGCTGCCTGCCTTGCAAGCACAAGGACCCGAGTTCGATCCCCGGTGCCAAAAAAAAACAGCAAAAAAAAAGAAAAGAAAAGGGCTCAAAATTCAGTAAAACAAAGTCACAGGGCTAATTTGAATATGTGCATTTAATATCAAAATCCACAGGCAGAGCATGACTTGAGATTTAACTCGATAAATTAAAATTGTTAGAAGGAAACTGCTAGCCTTCACAAATACAGTGCTTCCAACTTTTACTAAATTCAAGCATCTCATTTAGAATTTAGAATTGTGATCCCATAATATATTTATTAAGCTATTTTCACTTACAGTCTTTCTCTTTACTATGTGTCGGATGCCTAATGAGACCTTCTACAAAAAGAGACAAAAATCTATTGTGCTCTAAGAATGACTTCATAGTTTTTTAAATATAAAAATGAGTTTTGATTTTGAGAACTGAACAGAAATTTTCATTTCTGATTTAATGCAGATAGATTTTTCAACAAAAGTTTTAAACCATATGTACTCACACATCACTATTTTTAAAAATAAAAATCCTAAGGAAGAATTATAAGATTTTCCCCACATCCTAAGCTATGTGACAGTATTTTCTGTGCTTTGCTGCATGGAATGCTTTCCCTGTGCATTTTAGCCTGGTGATGCAACTGGCAGGAAGGCTACAGCTGCCCTTCGACCCAGCTTCTCATTTGGACTCACTGCCCACCTGTCCCCAAAAGGATCATAAAACAGTTAATTGAGCTATTAAATACAAATATCAGCCACTCGTGAATCAACTTTAATCATTTCAGTACTTAATTATAACCAACAGTATGGGAGGAAAAGTAACATTAGGTATTGAAGAGTCTGAGCCAGAAAATTGGCCCTGCAAGGGAATGTGGGTGTCGTAATCCTAGTCCTGTGGCTCTCTGCCATTCACAGTCATTTAGCCCAGATTCTGGGCCCAGTCCCATTTCCTCTGCAGCAGATAAGGGAAGTACAGGATCCAAACACCAGCAATTCTACAACTCTGCTTGAAGCCAGTCAACCTGTGTTCCAGCAACCTGAGCCCCCTTCTGCTAGGACTAAACTCCACCTGTATCACATTTCCTTTTATGCATCCATTACTGTCTTTTCTTCTCACTCAACACACATGACTTCCCAGGTACTGTCTTGGCAACAGGAAGCAGAAAAGAGCAACTCCCTCAGAGCAGGGGTGGGGTGGGGGCTTACTAATTCCTGCAATTTCAGATAGCTTGCCTCCTGTGGCAGCTTCATCTAATTTTGCTTCCCATAAATGTAAAAATATTATTTTTTCTTAATGTGAAAAATTTTTCAATACTACATAATTGCAGCCATTTGGGCCTTCAATTCTACCTAAATAGCACTTTACTGCCTCGCATCTTATAATGAAAGCTTTTGCTTATTCTTCTTGTAATGATTTTTCTTTAGTTCATTCTACTGCTTCTATGATGGTCTTGGGTTTCTGGCTTCCTTAATTAATTTCCCATCACATAGAATCACTGGAGTTTCCTGTTAATTGGAAGTGAATAACTCAAAATTATTTTTGCCATAAAGCTATCTTTAATACTCCATAAGATATGTTATTTCACTTTTATTCCATGTACCCTTTATTTATTTTATTTTTTTTGTACCCTTTATTTAAACAGAACATGTTATTATTTCAGGAAAGAGAGAAAAATAGGATTTTTCTAACCTTTCTGTCACAAAACCAGGATGTTCTTGAGGGTATGGGTGGTGGGATAATTTACTACTATTGTTTAGATCTATCTCAGCCAAAAGGGGAAATTTTACTCACATACTAAGGATGGCAGAGGAGGGACAAGAAACAGTTTGAAGTCACTGTAGCCATTGCCAAAACAGAACCAACTCTGGATCTCTTATTTTCAGATTTTCTGTTAAATAAACAACAAAGCTCCTTGTGGTTTTGACTGCTTTTAATCAAGAATGCTTTTAACCGAAACCCAAAGTCTCCTCTTAGGGTTTCCAAGATCCCTATAAGCACAGCTTGATCCATTTACTGGTTCAGAGAAGGCTGGGTGAAAGACTCAGGCTAGAGCAAGAAGTAGGCAAGCTCGTGGTGATGCCAGGCTGGAGCTCCAACCTCGTTTTTTTCTGTGAAGTCTTCTGTCATTTGATTTTCTACAGTGAACACACACCATTATCCCTGTTGAGAGCCCCAGCAACAGCGAAGACTTAGGGATTAACACAGTGACTGCTCCTCTGCTTTCTCCCCTAGTGTGGACACCTGGGCCATGGTCATCAACTAACCCCCGAACAAGAAGCAAAAGCAGCTGCCTGCCTGTGGACCACAGAAAATGTTACAACAAGGAGTATCCTAGTAAACTGGAGGTTGAGGATGAAGAGTAACCTTGATACAAAGCCTTTGGCAGTTTTCATGGTGTAAATTATCCTGCCACAGTTATGAAGCTGCCAACAGATTACTGCCCTGCTGACCACATTCCTGAATATTTATCAGTTAACTCCAGTAAGCCAACACCAGCCCCACATCACTAGAAGGAACTATGGTGTATATGATTCCTTGTTTCCATATTAATTTAATGTTTTGAGTTTATTGTCCTTGTTTTGAGAATCCATTGTGTAACAAGGCGGGGGCACTGTTGAAGGAATGTCAAAGCATATACAATTTAAGGTCAAGCCCTCTCTTCTTGGAGTTTATAGTCTAGATGCAAGTTCAGCAACATGTAAGACAGAAGGAAAAATCTTTCAGAAAACAACACACTTCGAAGTTCAAATTAACTCAAAGCAAGTTAACATGTAAGTTCCTAAGACAGGGAAAATGAGCATATCAGCCCATCTCTTAGGGTGGCTGAAAAGCCTAAATGAGATCACACAGGAGAAGACTCTTGGTGAGTTACAGGCCACTAAAGAAATAGAAAGGATCATTCTTCTTAGAGTGCAGTGAGACTAATCTGACAAGGCAGTATTTGGGTTCCCAGAACATGGTAATTGATGATGACAAGGTCAAAGATGGGAAGGCCTGGGGATACTGGGAAGAGCAAGCAGCAAACAGAGCCCGCTGACCTCAAAGGCGCTGGAGTGAACTGTGTTCACAGAGCCAAATTGTTTCCTACGACACCACTGCTGCTGTTTCTCATTCCATTAATTATACAATAGGGACCAAGATTTTAACTTTACAAATGCTCAAAAATCTTCATCTGTCTGCACAACTGTTCTCAAAGGCTACTTTAAGGATATCTAGGATTAATATCTAAATGATCTTCAGAATAGCGCTTTCCAAATGCATCATTGATCAGTAAATTAGAAGCATGGTCTTTAAGACTGGATTCAAACTCTGCCCCTGGCTCACTGTGTGCCATGTGAAAGTACTGTAACTTAAACTCCTGGAGCCTCCATTTCCTCAGTAAATGGAGAAAGGTAATATTTAACTCATAGTATCATTTTTCAGGTTAAACAAACTAAAGAATATAAATCATCTAGTACAATGCCTAGAATATAGTAAAAATTCAATGCTTGATACATGCTATTTTTATTCATTTTTGAATTGTCACGTTCAAAATTGGAATTAAAATTCTAAATTAAATGGTGAAGAAATTATAGGCAATTCCATTAGTTTTTGCACTTGTCTTTAAATAGGAAATCAGCTATTATTCTTGCTTTTTGCCACTCTGAGTATCAATTTTACCTTAAGTCTGACTTCTTGTGAATGAAAATCAGTTCGGTAGTAGCCAGAAAACTGTGTGATACTTCATGCACATCCAATGTGGGAGAGGAGAAGGGAGATAGACACACACACACACACACACACACACACAGACACAGACACACACATAATGAAGAGAAAAGAAGAATCCTGATATTCCAGTAAATGTGCTCTCCTAACAGATTGTACGATCATCCTGAGGCCCCTGTATCCAGAGGCTTAGGATATGCTAGTTGAATGGAGTTGGAATGTTTGGGAAATTAGAGGGCCAGGTGGAAAGAGGAGCAGGCTGTGTATGGATAATTGGCAGGTAACTCCACATAGTCTCAAGAACATTTCTCTATTCATCTGTTGACCCTAAATTTTATGGTACAGGCCGCTCAACAATATCCTTGATTTGAACTTTCACTACTTGGAATTCTGCCCTATTGTACTAAAACATGAAGATGGCTACTTCCCACTGTTGCTCTTGGATTTTTTTACCTCCATAAAAATGGTACAAGAAGACAAATTTTCTTATAAGCAAAATACTTTACAAACCTCTATATGTTTGTTAGTCCGCTTTTCATCACTATAACAAAAGACCTGATAATACTGACTTAATGGAAGAAGGGTTTATTTTGGCTCAGTGTTTCAGCCCATGGTTGGCTGGCTCCATTGTTAGAGGTGGTAGTGAGGCAGGGCATCGTGGATGAAAGCTGCAGCAGAGAAAAGCTGCTCGCTCACCTCTTAGCAGCCAAAAAAGCCAAGAGAAAGGTGAAGAGTTCAAAGCCTCTGCTAGGAGGTGTCCTTCTTCTGCTTTTGTTCCATCCAAGGGCTCATCCTACTGCATGGTGCTGCACCCATCCAGGGTGGGCCTCTTCCATCAGTTTGCTGGCTCACATGCCAATTATGTCTAGAAATATTTTCATAGATACATACAAAAGTAGGCTTTCGTAATTTCTTCCGTGTTTTTCAATCTAATCAAATTAAAAATTCAGATTAACTGTTGTTATTGGGGTTTTGCTGTATTGTTTTGTTATATTGGGGATTGAATGTAGAGCCTTCACATTGAGTTACAACCCCAGCCCTTTCTTATTTTTTTTATTTTGAGGGAATGTCTCACTAAGTTGTTCAGGCTTGGCCTGAACTTGCTGTCTTTCTTCCTTAGCCTCCTGATAGAGCTGATTTTCCTATTTTACTATAGTGATTTATATCATGATACGGAATGTTGGCTAATACATAAAAACACCAGCCCAAGCAGTGAAAAAGGGAAGAGCTTATTCAGTTTTAATGCTTAATGATGACAACCAATTGAATCGATTTTAGTCAAAATGACAATAAGAAATAAAACCACCCATTCTGAGAAATTCATGAAGATGAGATCCAAAGAAAAAGATTAGGCACATATTTCTTGTATTTCCTGCATGATTTTCACTCACTGTTTTGTCATAGAAACAAGCTCAGAATTTTTCACCTAATTTTCCTAGTTCTCAAATCTCAACTTTCTCCTGTGACAGTATTATGATGAATGAAATCCCAAATAATATTTACTTTATCTTATTGAAAAAATATGAAAATGTCTAGAGGAAATGAAGCTCTAAAAATAATAAATTAAATCCATGCACCAATAAAGAGAAGTAAATTCTTAGCCTCTGTTCTTTTTGAGGCACTAATCTTCCCATGGGAGTCAAGAAACCTAAGTATGGCCTATATTCCTATATTCTAATACTGTACTAGATACATTAAAAGGGCCAGAGTTAACTGAAGCAAATTTAAAAGGAAACAAATGTTTCATTAATCCCCTATTTGACACTTTATCTGTATGTAATCCTCATAGTCAAATGGGTGCTTCAATGGCAAAGCAAGGAAAATTAAGAATTATGTAACCATGTTATTAATACCATCTATGTTTCTTTGCCTCTGTTCTCTATATTTCTAAATATCCACCCAAAAAAACCTACCTCAAAGAACAACATGGTGACAGAGATGGATTTCATCTTGACAAATGCAGTGAACTAAAAAAAGTGAACTATATACTCTCTCTTTCTCTCTCTCTCTCTCATAGTAGCTTGTATTCACTGTAGGCTAAGAGGTTAGGTAGTGTGAAAAGGATTCCCTAAAATTTTTAAACACCATGTAAGTCATGAATCTAAAACCATGCAAAAGTTATCCTGCTCTTTTTTACCAACTGGTAAAATGTTGTTTGTTTTTTACTAAAAATGCTAATAGGGTTTCAAGTGAAATCTTTACTTTTTAAAGAATCATTTTGGTATCACACAGACATTGCCTTATTCATTTATTCATCCAAACTACTCATATGGGTCATTATTTTCTGTAAGAGAAAAATGCACATCTTGATTAATGAGATAATCTGAGAAGTAATTGTCTAACTTTTCTAAATTTCATACCTATTAATTTCAATAAATTTCCACTAATTTTGGTATTATAAAGTTGATTGAGTGGGAACATCTAATCTGTCTTCACAAAACCCTTCATTACTGCAACAATACTTCTATAATTTTTAAATTCAATTTTGTGATCTTTTCATCAACAGTGCAAAAATGATCCATACCTCATCATAAAATACACCACCTATTTTAAGTAGCCAAATTCTCTTCAATTTTACTGCAGGGTAATCCAGTTATTTGAATTAATTTTTCCATGAGTCACACATACTAGATTACGATGTTTAAATGAATCTCTCAGCATGGTGAACTAGCAAAGCCTCTGCCCCATGCTTTATGGGGAGCTTATTAGCTCCCGTTTCCTTTGATCTTGCCATCCCACATGTGCCAGCGCCCACAAACTTATACATTGTGCACTGCAGTAACAGCAATGAGAAGGAAGAAGAGCTGTTAGCTAAGTTACAGAAACAACACTTACTAATGCAAATAAATGATCCCACAAATAATACCAAGTTTCCAAGTGTGAATAACGGGAAGAAGGTGTCACAATTTCCAGAAAGTAGAAAATGGAGGTGGGCACCTGATGAGTGTCCTGTGGGACTTACCGAGGTGAGGTGATAGAAAGCCATTCCAGGCAGAAAGCAGTGGGCAGTAGGATGGACATGTGGTACTGAACCTTGAGCAAGAGAACTCAAATGGAAATGAAGAGCTGTGAAAAAAGATAATAACCATCTGAGAGAGAGAGAGAGAGGAAGAATACTCCAGAGAGAAAGAGACAAGAAAAAATACACAAGTGAATAAAAAAAATCAACGGACGCGCTTAAGCAAAGCCTAATGACAGAAGAGAGAAAGAGGGCAGAAGAAGTGCATTAAGAAAGGAGAAAGTGAGGGCATGGTGGCACGTGCCTATAATTCCTGTGCTCGGGAGGCTGAGGCAAGAGAATCACAAGAGTTCAAGGCCAGCCTGGGCTACATAGCAAGACCCTGTCTCAAAAACAAAACAAAACAAAAAAGAAGAAGAGAGGAAAGTCAATCAACAAAATATATTTATTTATTCTTAACTAATCCAACAAGCATCTACTAAAGATCTACTCTGCCGTAGATATCCTGTTAGACACTGAAGCAGGAAGGAATATCCAGGTATAACACAAACATGGCCTCTGCTCTCATGCTATTTATAGTCTAGTGGTGAAGAAACCAAGACACTGGATAAATAAGACACACAAAGACACACCCACACACCCACACACCAATAAGTATAATAGTGAAAAATGCTCCAGAAAGGGGAAAAATAAATTCAAGACCCAGGGCCTGGGGGAATATATAAGAGAGGGCTGCCTAGTCTTTCCAGAGCAGGTTACCTAAAAAAAATTACACTACCTGGCATTGAATAATAAAAAGTAATAGTGATCAGGGAAAGAATACCAAACCAAAGGAAGCAGAGACTGCAACTACAAGGAAAGGAAGAGAAAAACATACAGTGCAGAGCCATCAAGATCAAGGCCCTCCCCAGCCCCAACAGTCTGCAAAGCCCTAGTTTCCATCTTTCCTCCTATACTTCCACACTAGATTCACAGGCAAGCATGAGTCCATAGTGCAGTGTTGGAATGAGGGTCAGGGTAGACAATGCTATTTAGCCAATACCCACTCACCAGTTTTACGTACTACCAGAACTCTAGTTTCTTTAGCATAGTGAGGGTTCCCACTAAATTTCTCATTTTTCCAGACTTCCTTGCAGCTGGGTGTGATGTTCTGACCATTCTGAGATCAAAATAGTGATGGCAAAGACAGAAATAGGGGTTGGAAAGCCATTTCAAGGCCCTGTTTATAACACAGACATTGACATTGCCACAAATACATGGAATAACCACTCTATTTAATGAAATGTGCAATTTAACTTAGGAAAATATTTTGGAGCTATAAATGTGATCCCTTGGAGGCTGTTTAGCCTTTAAACCACAGAAAACTAGTATATGTAAAACACCTAGGTTGTCACATCACAACATTGTCTAAAAAAAGAAAATTGCATTGTTATACATTGATCCCAGACCATTGAAAGAAGTAAAAGGAGTTTTGTTCTGAGCGTTTAGCTGTGTGTGGCAGCAGGTGGATGGATATTTAAATGGCATTATTTATCTTAAGTACCATGTAAGGGAGTATCTTAGAGTCTCTGGCTCCAAAAATGTACGTCAGTTTGGCGGGAGACCAATACCTTTTTAGCTATTAAAGCATGAATAGATTTTCAACGTTTTCCTTTTTCTAATTATACACATTGATCTGTCATGTCACTGCCACTTTGCAAGTTATGTAAAAATCAGCTCTGGCTGGCTTGCACAAGCCCTGCAAACACCAAGAATCATTACACTGTGCATTCTATAAGCTGTTCACAGTGGCATGTATTTTACTGTAAGGTGTGTCCAGCCTGATAGAGCTTTGAAGCCAAAAACCTTAGGAATTGAATCCTGTCTCTATCAGATGCTAATTGTGTAACCTGAAGCAAGTTACCCAATCTGTCTGAGCTTTGGTTTCCTGAATACCTACATTTTGTGAGTATTAAATGAGATCCTTTATAAACAAACACAGCAAGCATAAAGACCTGCCCACACTGCTCTAAGCTCTTTGCAAACATTATTTCCTTCCTCTTTTGCCCTTTCTCCACACTGAACTGCACTTCAGGAATTTTCATTAAAGGAAGCAAAAGTAAAAGCTAGTAAAATCTATGCCTACAGAATGGATTCTAAATTAAGTGCAAAAAGAAAATGGGGATTCTACTTAAATTCTGAAGCAAAGATTATAAAAATACAGAAAATGAAGTAGGGTGGCAAAAATCAATTGCAACCATTATTAGAAAATCATACAAACCCTAAAAATGATATTTTTAGGATGGTTTACATTTTCACAACACTTAGTATCATACAACCACAAAGCTACATCGGAAAAGAATTTTGAGGACTTTCTCTCCTTGTTCTATACAGAGTATGTTGAGGATATTCCTTGGCACAACCCTGAGCAGAGAGGGGTTAGGATAGAATCATCCTAACTATCATTCTCCTGTGACCCTTACATGCACAGCTGTCTGACCCACATCTGTCTGCCCAGTCTTTCTTTCTCATTGCTGGGACAAAATACTCAACACCCATAAGTTAAAGGAGCAAAGGTTTATTTTAGCTCATAGTTTGTGAGGTTTCTTTCAGTTCATAGTTGGCCAGCTCCAAGACAGGGCAGCATGCCAGAGGGGCATTGCAAAGGAGAAACAGTCCATGGCAGGGTAGGCAGGAAGCAGGGGGGATAGAGGCGGAAGGGAGGATAGATATTTCCAGGCCACACCCACAGTGACCCACCTCTTCCTACCAGGCTTCACCTCTCAATAATACACCCAGTCATAAACCCATCAGTGGACTAATTTAGTGTCACACACCCATGATCTAGTCACCTCCCCAAAGTCCCACTTTTCAGTATATAAGGCTTTGGGGGGACATCTAGATATAAGCCATAACAGCCCTTTTTACTTGAACAACCACACACACACACAC